TTTCATCAGATAATTATGAGATAGTGTGACAGAAATTACATATGTTATCACATTGATTATTGATTTTGGTTAGATTAAATTGACTGAAATACTCAGTATAAACTGACGACTTAAAAAGTTATTTGACAAAGGATTAAAAAAGTGACAGAAAGTAGGAAAGGAAACATTTTGACTTAAGTATTGACAGCGAACATTGGACTATACCATTATGAGTTGCCTCCTAAAGTCAGACTAGATCTTTGTAGAAAGACATGACTTGAATTGGACTAAAACGAATAAGCATTTTCTTCTTAAGATTATGACATTACTGAGTTTAAAACAGCTGCAAAAATGTTAACTGCTTTTAGCAAAAATAAAGGAAAAAAGAGTTCCATGTGTGACTCGTACTGCCTGTTACACTACAGGAGGCCTGGAAAACAGAACGTTATATGGAAAAGGGAATTCAACTATTTAAGACCAATGCACAACTTCTCCAAATTCCCAAAACACTATACCACTAAAGGTGTTATTATAATATAAGAACGATATAGTAACGGTGAAATATGAGCCCCCCCCTCATTCCCTCCCTTTGTGCTGAAGGTGCTCTGGCGTGGAACGGAGAGCAGCTATCGTCGGGGAGTCGGGACCGAGTGATCCTGCAGCGAGACGTCAGGACCCCCCCCTCAGCTGAGAGGAGGCTGCAGGGTCACAGACAGGAAGTGTGCGGCCTCAAGTGGTCCCCGGACCACCAGCACCTCGCGTCCGGGGGCAACGACAACAAGGTAAGAGAGAGATAATAGTAAAGAAAATGAATAAATCTTTCAAAATAAGTAAGATTGAACATATCTGTTGTCTCCTGCCAGCTGCTGGTGTGGAACAGCTCCAGCCTGCTCCCTGTGCAGCAGTACAGCGACCACCTGGCGGCGGTGAAGGCCATCGCCTGGTCCCCCCACCAGCACGGGCTGCTGGCCTCAGGGGGGGGCACGGCCGACCGCTGCCTGCGCTTCTGGAACACTCTGACGGGCCAGGCCCTGCAGAGCACCGACACCGGGGTCCCAGGTCTGCAACCTGGCCTGGTCCAAACACGCTAATGAACTGGTGAGGACTCGCACGCACGCACGCACGCACGCACGCACACACACGCACGCACGCACACACACACACACACACACACACACACACACACACACACACACACACACACACACACACACACACACACAACACACACCACACACACACACACACACACACACGACACACACACACACACCACACACCACACACACACACACACACACACACACACACACACACACACAGTTATCTGTAGATATTTGTAATAATTAAAATAGTTTGTTCTTACAATTGACTCCTATTCAAACGTATTTAGATATCTTCAATTCAGTTACGTGTTCTTATTTCAAGTTGACTCGACCACAATGTAATTTTGATCATTTGTAATTCTAAAAGTTAAATAATCACTAGTTAAATGGTTCATTATTGATGGCAATAATTTCATTGTGACTTTCATGTAAATTGTTCTTACCACCAAATGTACCAAAAGTAATTGCAATGTTCATTTTAGATATCTACAATTACAACTAAACTACAGCTATCACAAATAAAATAACAGATATATAATATTCTATTGTGATTAGTTGTAATTCAATTATTGTAAAAGTAACCAGTCAGATTGAAATGTAAGATTTGCATTTAAAGAATAGCATTTGAGATATTTGAAATATCTCTTGGTTCAGTGCTAAACATTGGTGTTGTATTTTGATAATGACCATTCTTAATGTTATTCCCGTAATACACCTTCCACGCAAGATAAGTCCACGAATGGCTTCACCCTGACCACGCCCACATATCTGAAATGCTTTGTTGATTTGTCAGGCATATCAGAAATGTTATTCTTGATATCTAAAAATTCATTTTTTACATGTAACAATCTTTTTTGTATAGCCTTGTGAAGCACCTTGAGATGACGTTGTTTTTAAAGTGTGCTATATAAATCAAATGCATGATTATTATTATTATTTTTCAACTCTTAAAAATCCAATGAAGTGATAGTTATGGTTACTGTTGAAAAAAGATTTAGGGTTAGATTTAGGGTCCGGTTATGGTTAGCATCTTTACAGTATGTATCATGTTAACTTTATCCCACTGATAACTTCAATTCATATTTGAAATAATTCAAAACTTTTATTTCCAGATGTTGAAATGTCATTTGGATTGAAAACCAGTGTTAGGGTTTACTGTAGGTTAGGTTTGCTTTGTATCCACATTGTCATAATAAGCAAAAATATTCAGCCATGACAGAAAATGTAAAACTCTGCTCATGTACTCCAACACAACAAACTAATACAGAACCTCAGCGGGCTCACAGAGGGTTGGGATATTAGGTCCGATTATAACTCCATTCCAGATCATTAGACTTGCATATGTGATCTATAAGTGAATCGTGCTGTCTCTGTTTGCAGGTGAGCACTCACGGCTACTCTCAGAACCAGATCCTGGTGTGGAAGTATCCGTCGCTGACGCAGGTGGCCAAGCTGACCGGACACTCCTACAGAGTGCTGTACCTGGTGAGACTGCAGCTTTTAAACTACTGGCCATGCAGCTCCTCTGTCAATATTTAGAGAAAGAACTATTCAGATGCTTCCTTTTAATTATCATATTTCCTATTTACAACATTTGATAAGTGTTTCTTATCCCATCAAGGGTCAGTGTTATGCTGACTGAAAATATGCTGATTGAAAAATCCCTTGGCAAATTGGTTATTTATATGTGATATTGAAAAATTACCTTTTCCTTATTGACGCTGTTTTTGGGACAGCCTAGTCACCTTTTTTATATGCAAATAATTACTCTTCTTAATGAATATACGTAACTTGTGACATAAGCAGTCTAATAAATGTATTAGAGTATAAAGTCCTCTATTTTGGTTGAGACTGAGAAAGTTTTGAATGCCAATTTACCGATTGAAACATCCCAAAATGTCCCCCTCACCAGTTATTCTCTCTCTGTCCTCCGTTCGCAGGCTGTGTCACCAGACGGGGAGGCCATCGTCACAGGAGCTGGGGATGAGACACTACGTTTCTGGAACGTCTTCAGTAAGACGCGCTGCACCAAGGTACAGTCCAATAGAGCGCAACATAACCATCAAACTGTCTGACGTCTTTGTTGTTGGAAGTTACTGAATGATTGCATTCTTGATATTTCCTGTGTTGATAAGTTCGATGGAACCATGCCGACTTTTGTAAGAAATTGTGTAGAAACGACTGCATTCCCATGGAAAGTGCTTTGAAATAGGACAGTTAAATTAGCTTGGCAAAAACCTAGCGCATAATTTCCAGGAGCCCATGGATGTATGAACAGAACTGGATACAGCCGTTGAAATGGGGCCTCGTTAGTTCCTATGAAAATTGCTCATTGGCACATTAAGCCAAAACGGTTTTACTTTTGAGGGCAAAATGATGCAGATGATCCATGTACTCAGGAAGTGGGACGGGCGGTGAAGCAAATTAAGGGAGGGACCAAACAGTGGTACTACAACTTCTGTGTCGGATACGTGACGTCATCGGGCCGAATTTCTTTGACATTAACCCACATTAGGAAAGAGTTGTCTGTAAATCAGTGGATAGTTTCTAGTCAGGTAAATGAACTTCACTTGAATAGTAGTTATTTTCTTTCTCCAATCATTTGACTGAGCTGAGATTGTTCTTGAGGGAGTGCATTGGAGGCGGGGCTTAATTGCACAATGCACAATTGGCCTCAATGCGGATTTTTGCACTCCAGTCAGTTCAAAATGGGTTCATGCGCCACTGAGCAAGTTTCATAGGAAGGAACTAGGCCCCGCCTCCAACGCTGTACCCAGTTCTCTATATATAGCCATGGTCTTGGCTCTGTCAAATGAAAGTTGAAGAAAAACAAACAGGGAATTCGGCCATTGGTGCGATTTACAACTTATAGGACCCAATTGTTTGTTCGTGGAAAGGTAAAAGCTGACATGTCCACGGTTTGGCCTCTACGAAGATTTGCTTGAATGCCTGGCACACCTTTTGGGGGCTTGGTCGGACCTAGCTCAGCAACAAGAAGGGAAGTGGGTGTGTCTTAGCCTATTTTGATACTTTTTTGTATTTTTAGGGTAGAGGCACACAGCCATAACACAGTGTTTAGTCATCTTTATTGTTTGTGACACTATTCAATCTTGCTGTTCCCAGGAATCGAAGTCGGTGCTGAACCTGTTCACCAGGATACGATAGTCCGGTCAGGACTGGATCAGGAGAAGGGTCCTGAGCTGTGGCTGAAACGCACAGAGTCACTACCCACACTCACAGACTAGCTCTTACAGCGCTCTCATCTCAGTGCACCACCAGCACCACAGTCCTCCTCAAACCCCTTTTCTACAGAGGCAGACCAACAACAACAACAACTGCCCCCCCTCACAGTGACGTCACTGATTAAAAAAACGTAAGCAGTTTACTGTCAGGACATGTTGTCTGCTTTAAATAAAGTGAGTCTTGTTATCTTTTTCTGTTGTGGAAGTGATGAAATTGTTGTTATTATATATTAGCAGAAGTATACATGTACATGATTATAAGCTATATAATGTCTCTTTTTTTTAAAAGGCTCTCCTTTGTAACAGAGAGAAGAAGAAGCCTAGCTTGGGTGTGTGTTGGGGGGGATTTCTATATTTTGATAATGTGTGAAAATGATCTACAAGCATTATGAAAGAGAAAAGAAACAATAAATAAGTGAACACATACACAGCTGCTCATGCAGATGCAAAGAATGAACTGTTTATTGTTGTTTGTTACGGAGAGTGGAGATGGGACACTTGTTTACAAGAGTCTTGTAATAAAAACATGTTGCACAGAGCTCCTTTTAGCCTAATAATCGTCCACTCTGTTTTTGCTTTGGTTCAATCCAAGTATTATGGATATGTTGTCCATTGTCCCCAAACGGTCCAATTTGGCACCATTTACCAGTGAAACAAATTCCGGATGTTTCTTCCCGAGCGCAGTGCTCCGAGCTCAGTCTATTTATGGGATTATCCGGCCCCCTGCAGACCCCGACAGAGGAGAGAAAACTCCTTCACGATCTCCTTAACGCGTCGCTTGTTGGTCTGCTCCCTGTAAGAAAGAAAAATCAATGGATTTAGTCAAAACAACAGACTTTATTTCACTGTTTTCTGTGTCTCTTTTGCACATATATCTAGTTCCCTTGAACTATTACGCAAAAAAGGTGTCCCTAATCATGTTTCCTTTATAATTAGTTCAGTTATAGGGGGTTAGTTTCTTGGTATTAGATCAAATAATATATTTTTCGGGACGTACAGAGTGCCTTTTAATAATGCTTAGATACTTTTGCTATTTCCCTTCTCCCAATTCATTACAGCTGGATGTCTCTGTTCCCCTGAGTTGATTGGAGGTGAATCAGATCACCTGTTGGCTCCTGATTAACAATTGAGAGCAGCTGGGTGCATTTCCTCTCGGCCAATCAGGTGCTTTTCAGAGGGCTTAAGAGAGGAGGAGAACTGCTCACCCAGGTCATTCTGATACTTCCTGATGCAGACCTCATTTCAGCAGATACTCACAGCTGGAAGCTCTTGAGGCACTCTTGAGACTTCTTTGCTGTCTTCACTTTTGTGATTCAGAGAGATTTTAGGGCACTGAAACCCAGCTGGACTGGAAATGAAAAAACCCCTTACCCTATGTTACCAGACTCGGGGCAGATTCTAGTGCACTTGTTGGTAACTCCTGCAGCCTTTATTTTAATCAAATCCCCGTTCATAAACAGCTCCCTATAATGAAAGAGGCTTTTCTGTCAAGGCACAGATATCTTCTACAAGAAAATGTGGTTGGGTACTGGTTCTAAGGCTTCTTCATGATAAATTGTGGAATCAGTATAACTCACTGAACTAATTTGATTAGGGTTGCTTGTCATTGTCCCTTTTTCATATGTTCTACTGAGACACCTAAATGTAGTTTTATTTGTATATGAATCAAGGGTTTGAGAGCACAACACCTTTTTGAAACAGTGTTGGTGTTTGAAACTGTACCAGGTGCAGCCTCACCTCAGTAGCTGCTGGCTGAAGCTGTGCTTCTGCTCTGAGGAGACGTGTGCAGAGGGGAACCCTGGGCTCTGTAGAGTTTCCTTCAGCCACTGAGCCAGCAGAGCCGGGCAGTGTCTGTTCAGACTCAACAACACCTCTGAGAAATGCTCCGTCAGACTGCGGGAGGACTCGCCTCCTACCGCCTGAGACAGAAATAAAAACATAAGCTTCTCTAGAAGACACTATGACTAAACATCAGAGAGAACATGCATGCACGGAGCACTTTGTGTCACATCCAGTTGTTTGTGGTGTTTCACCTGGAGTATGGTCTCGGTCAGAAGCTTTCCGTCCCTCTGCAACACTTCCCCGAGGGAGGGCATGTCCTTACAGCGAGGCAACAGCTCCGTCTGCCAGGGACACGTGTTGAAATTAGATTTTTATTTGTTTTAAATCGCTTACAATACATTTAAAAACCGTGCACTTTGCTTACTTACAAAGAATTGAGCAGCAGCTTTTACTGTGGGTGTCTCTGGAAACTTAAGTGTTAGAATCCCTGGGGGAAAAAAGAGTAAAAACACTATTTATTTTTACAAATACTTCAACAAACAAGTCCCAACATCCAAGATTATGGAAAAGTGCTGAAATATTTAACAAAGATCTGTCCTACATTAAACAATGGCCTATACTCACCGCAGTAAAACAGCCCTTTAACATCGAGCTGCTCAGACAGGTAGAGTTCAGGCTTCCTCTTAAGAATCTAAATGAACACAAAGTGATCAGGGGACGGTTCTGTGTGCTGCAGACGTACAGAACAAAGAACGAGAACACTCAACCCACCTGAGCGTGAAGGTGCATAAATGATTCTGCGATATCAGGATGATTCCGTGGACCTGAGGATGAAATCCAAGATGAGACAGGAGAAATATCTCTGAGATCATCAAGACATTTCTCTGTCGGTGTTTGTTACCTTGCTGAAATAAATGAAGTGTCACAGATGTCAACACCTCGATGAGGCTCCTGATGGTACAGACGTGTTGTTCCTCTCCGGAGAATATGTGAACCATCTAAAAAAAGGAGAAAGAAAATAAGATTTGATTTCCAAAGAATTTGAATCTTAGGTATCAATAGGGACACATTCCTGGCCGTAGTAAGAGGTCCTATGATCCCTTTGGGGGGTTTCCCTTTCCTGTAGTGTGTTTTTATTGCATGTGTATGGTCTACAAAGGCTTGAATCCCAAAGTCTCAAATCACAACAGCCAGCTAACCAATCAGAGCAGACTTGGCTCTGGTTTCAGGCAGAGGGTGAAAAGAGGTGTATGAGACAAATAAAGAGCTTTTTGAACATGAAATCATGTAAACACGTCACAGTAGAGACACTACATACTAATATGAATCTGAAAATGAGCATAAAATGTCCTCTTAAAGAGTTATGCACCAGGGTTAGAGTCAGAATTAGAGTTTTGAGGGATCATGCTTTAACTCAGGCCCTGATCTGTGGAGGCGTACCTGCCGGGCAAGGTCCAGAGCTGAGGATTGTGGGTAGGCGCTGTAGATCTGCCCCAGCATCTCGCTCAGATGAGCCACCATCGGCCCAAAATCATGTAGGAGAGTTCGGACCGACTTATCGAAGACCCCACACACTGCCTGCAGAGGGAGAGAGCTGTGAGTCATGCATAAATCATACATGCTCAGACTCACACAAAACATCACATACATACATATTTACGCAAGCAGTACAAAAACTCCTACCTCTACTACCTCTGAGTCATCGAGCCACTTGCTGAGGATGGTTTGGATCAATGTGAACACTTGCTGCAGAACAACAACTACCTAAAAACAACATTTGATAAGATTTTATTTTAATATTTCACATCAATTAACACTTTATACTTATATCACCTTTCAAAAAGGTGAGTGCAGTTTAAAATGCTTCACAGATGAATGAAAAGACAGTAATAAGAAGACAGAACAAGTAGAAAGGCAAAACAATTGAACAACTAAACAAATAAGACCAATGCTGGAATGCATGTAATACAATTGAATTCAAAGCTATACTAACCAACAAAAACAATATGGAATAAAGGAAATAGATGAAGTAATAAACCATAACATTGAATGAAATGATACAGCATAAATACAATTTATAATGTCCATAAACCATTCTTAGATAAAAGCCTGAATTGGTAGGTGTAATGTTTATTTTGAAAGATTCTCAGGCAGACTTTTCCGGAAGCTCTGATCATAAGAGCAAAAGCTTGCTCACAAGTAGATCTTTATGTAGGTTTTTATTTTTGATACATTCTTGACATGTCTGCGATATTGAGGGCTGTTTCAACAAAGCACCATTTGGAAACATTGAAATACTGTAGTTTAAGATGATGGAGGTAGTGGTACATGAACTCACTGGGTTGGGGGTGCTCAGAGGGGCGGAGGGTCTCTGGCTGGAGGCGGACTCTGAGCTGTCTGAGTGTCTGATGTCCAGAGTGGTGAAGAGGCTTGACAGCATCCCCAGGATGTGGACTATAGCCTGTTTGTTAGTGGGGTCCGGCTGTGCAGGGAGACAGAGTGGGTGGGTCAGATATTACACCTTGTGATGACAGTGAACATGTACAGCTGTTGTGAGAGTACAGTAGTAGTAATCTATGTATTGCAGTATGATATCATATTATTATCTAAAATATATGTTGTACTTTTGCAGAAAATCTTCCAAGGTGCAGTCAGCTGTTTTTTTTTTGTAGGAGCTTGGCCTGTGAACCCGAGGGTCACGGGTTCAAGTCCCCGCATGGACCAAGAAAATAAAGATAAATAAATACATTTTAAAGGTGCTTTGGACTGGTAGCTGGAGAGGTGCCAGTTCAACGCCTGGGCCCTGCCGAGGTGCCGTTGAGCAAGGCATTGAACCCCAAAGCTGCATCAGGGTGCCAGACTATGGCAGCCCCTCTGCTTTGACACCTCTCAGTTCATGTGTGTGTGTTGTGTGTATGGAAAACACAGTGTTGGATCTTCTGAAGGACATGCATGAGTTTCTTCATATACCTCCTGCTGGGCCAGTGTGTCCAGCCGCTGGACGTGAGGGGTAATGAGAGAGTGAAGTCTGCCCAGAATCTCGTCTACAGGCAGGGCGGACAGGAGGAAACCCAGAGCCTGCATCAACCACATGCACTGGCTGCTCTGCACACACACACACACAGACAGACACACACACATGAAGTCCTCAGAGAGACGCTTAGCTTTGCATTTGTGTTTACAAGATTACAAATGACTGCAAATGTTGAAGCCTGTTTACTCACCTTATGGATTTCTTTTACGAGTACATCCTGCAGATATACACAAGTGTTAATGTAAAGACAGCTTTATCGCTAATGATAAAATAAAATAAAAGAGGCTGTGTGTGGGACCTGTGAGACGGTCAGGACGTCCTGAGCGTAGGGGCTGAGGTCATGTCTGCACTCCCTGCAGATCCTCTTCAGAGTGGACACACTGGACACAGACAGCTCTGGCTTCACAAGGCCCTGAAGCACCATGGGTAATATGCCACCCAACATCACGGGGTGATCTGCCAGCCACTCAGCCAGGGATCCTGGACAACAGGGGAAATTCAGAATGCATACTCAAAGTGAATGGGTGTGAAGGCATACCAAAAAATTAAAGTAACATAATCGGGTATTCTAATACTAATATTTGGCTTTAAAGGAGACTTAAATATATAAAACTCACATTTTTAGTGCCACAAAAACGTCATTAATCTGGAGGGCCAACCGAACGACGAATTATGAAATAATTACATATATACAAATAAAACAACCTTATCAGTTCTTTGTTGACTTCCTTGGTCATGGGATGCACTTTTCCTACTGTGGGTGTTTCTCAATAGCGAGTACGCTTGCTTGGTAGCACATGTCTGCTGAGCATCTTGCTTCAGAAGCGAGTCAAGAATACTTCCTGACATTTGGAAAACTAAGGGTGTTTCTCAATCGCGAGTAAAGCTGCTGCAGAGCCACTATTTCAAGCATACTACGTCATCGAGTGCCGCCGAAGTACTGTTCCAATCTCTAGTATACTTGGAAATCTACCGAGCCCGGCGTACTCCGTTTGGAGAAATATCGAGTCTGCACATGAGTAGACTTCGCGGTCTTAAAATCCCCACAATGCTTTGCGCACGGACCAATTTTCCCAAATCTGTGGCGGAAGATGTAAGGCGGGGCCTCTCATATGACGCACACCTGCACACTTGCTAGCGTGTTCCACTCTTCGTTTTCCGAATGGCAGGAAGTATTCTTGACTCGCTTCTGAAGCAAGATGCTCGGCAGACATGTGCTACCAAGCAAGCGTACTCGCGATTGAGGAACACCCAAAGAGTGGAACAGGCTAGCAAGTGTGCAGGTGTGCGTCATATGAGAGGCCCCGCCTTACATCTTCCGCCACAGATTTGGGGAAATTGGTCCGTGCGCAAAGCATTGTGGGGATTTTAAGACCGCGGAGTCTACTCATGTGCAGCCTCGATATTTCTCCAAACGGAGTACGCCGGGCTCGGTAGATTTCCAAGTATGCTGGAGATTGGAACAGTACTTCGGCGGCACTCGATGACGTAGTATGCTTGAAATAGTGGCTCTGCAGCAGCTTTACTCGCGATTGAGAAACACCCAGTATGTCACATGCAGGATCATCAGAATATACTGACTGACATCGGAGCATATCCACCCACATGTTAAGAACTACCTTGAGATAGGTGCATGTAATTTAATCGAGAGCCAATCAGAGAAGACTGGGCTTTTTCAGGAGGGGCTCTTAAAGAGACAGGCACTTAAACGGAGCGTTTTAGACAGAAACTGAAGTCAGGTTTATTCAGGCTGACAGTATGGGAAATATATTGTGTTTTTCTTTTACATTAAATCATGTAAACATGTTCTAATAAAAACTCAAAATACAAGTATGAACCTGAACATGAGCGTGATATGTCCCCTTTAATGTAAGACATTAGAAAACAAAGCCTTGGAGTTGTTAATAGTGACCCATTCAGAAACAGGAGTTTGGATATGTACCTATGGTGTACATGACGGTGTCAGCCAGCATTACATTGCTGATGTTGATCCTGGGGATGAGACCAATGAGACCCGGGATAACGTCTGAGTAGTTCACGTCTATCGTCTCAGCGATGGACTGGAAGCCAAATAACAGGGCCTCTGTGTCCTGAAGATGGAGAGAAACACAGTGTATTTATTTACTTTGCAAAAAGTTGTGAATGTAAAGATGTAAAGAGTGAGTAGAGTGCATTACCTGCCACACTGCTGACAGTTGGGGGTCCATCAGTTGTCTGCCCAGCCTGTCGTAAAGGTTACTGAGCAGCTCCGCCCCCAGCATTTCATACACATACATCAAGGTGTCGGAAATGTCAACTCTGTAATGCAAAGGAGAGGTGGAAACACAGTGTGATATAAGGTACAAGTTGAGTCTGCTGCTACTCTTTTTAGCAACTCAAACATCCAGTGGATGGTTTTAGTTTTGTGTCTTACCTGTAAATTCTGAACTGCTCCTTGTCGTCAGAGGACCAGGAGGCGTACTCCTCCTGGGAGGGATAGTGGGATTTATGTAGCAGCACATCCACCAGTTGGAAGTAAACTGGCCTGTAGACCTGCAGGTAAACTGCCTGCTTCTCCTCATCAAATGACAAGATGTCATCCTAAATAAGCAAGACAAAATGAAATAGAAAGTTTGGTTCCTTAAAGGTGGGGTAGGTAATTTTGGAGAAACCAGCTCGAGTGTGCTCAAATTTGAAAATACACAGCCGGAAAAAATCTGCCACTTCCTTACAGAGCCCCTCCTCCAACACACACGAACGCGCACAGTTTGTGCACAGATGGAAGGCTGACAGGCAGGTAGGCCATCCAGTTATTTTAGCCGGGCCGGCTAAAATGATTGGTCGTGCTTTTTACAGTATTACGGCTTCCACAGATGACATTTTTTTATGGATTTTTTGTCAAAGCACTTAAGATATTCATTGCTATCGGGATGTTAAGAGCATTCCATGGAATATAACAAAAAGTGTATCTCGAGCCGGTTTCTCAAACTTACCTACCTTTAATGTTTTGGTAGACAGAGTTACACATTTAGTGCTCAATATGTCATGTTCTACTTCTCAATTAAAACACTAACTAAAGACGTTCATGGGGTGTTTACAGGGACTTGAATGAACTGCATTGGTCTTCAAAATGAACAAATCCGAGGTTAAAAGCCAGTAAAAAACACTGAACAAAATAATAATTAGTTAAAATCAATGTTTTGTGTGTATGTGTGTAGTTTGGCTTCTGTAAATGTTTGCTCAGCTTGTCTCTTTATAAATGAAGATCTAGATGTGTGATGACTAAAATCAGGTCAAACTATATTATTAATAACAGCCAAGATCAAACCAATTATTCAAATATTCAAATAGATAAAGACTCCATTTATGGCAGCTTCTGGCAGACAGCCACAACGCCGATGCATGCACAAAGTGGATACATCGAACATAATAAATAAACTAAAATAAAAAGACAGTTACCTTAATACAAAAAAGTCTTTGGATAGGTTCACAACTCAACAAAATATATAACATACGTCTAGTTGTTTGCAGTCATTTAATGCTGAGATGTTTCATATTAAACCACTAACTTCTTTATCAGAAAATAACATTTAACAAAAAATGTAATGTACAAAACATGTTTTTATCTAATTAGTTTTTTTAGCGTACCTGCAGAGTGTACCAGAAGGTGAGCGTCAGGGAGCTGGTGGTCTCACTGACCGGGTAGTACCCCGGGATGCCGGTGCAGAACAGAATCATGTTCACCAGAGCCAGATACTCCTGCCAGTGCTCCACCTGTTCCAACAAAACCCTGTCAGACACAAACACATTGATCCCAATTAAGAAATAAAAGTATTTACTGAAGCCAGGTTAAAGGAAGGTGGTGTGTGTGTGTGTGTGTGTGTGTGTGTGTGTGTGTGTGTGTGTGTGTGTGTGTGTGTGTGTGTGTGTGTGTGTGTGTGTGTGTGTGTGTGTGTGTGTGTGTGTGTGTGTGTGTGTGTGTGTGTGTGTGTGTGTGTGTGTGTGTGTGTGTGTGTGTGTGTGTGTGTGTGTGTGTGTGTACCTGGAGTGTGTTTCCCCCATAGCAACAGCGATACGACAGATACCATGTGAGGTCTCCATGTCCCCGTCCCTCGCCGCTGTCTTCAGCTGGTCATGGAGGCCGAGCACCAGAGGCATCAGGGTCACCAGAGCATCAGTGTACCTGCACACACACCTTCTGATTCACACACCTGCACATGGACTGTGACCTTTAAAAACATGTATGATGCAGTGTAAAGTGGTAGAAGATATATTTGGATCCTTTGCTTGAGTGAAATAAGGTATACCACAATGTGAAAATACTCTTCTTAAAATAAAAGTCTTTCATTCCATGCCTTTTATAAGTCTTCATCAAAAATGTAGTTCAAACGTATGAAAAATAAAAATATTGATTGGTTCGTTATTGTTCCCTGTCAGTTTTTTACACTTTTTCCAATAATAGTATTGCTAAATTGATGTGTTGCAATGTACTGCATAGATGTTTAAGGTTGCACCAAGTTCTACTTATTAACTGTTTTAGTAGTTAAATCCACAGCGTTGCACCATATCTTATAAGATCACAGGGATATTGGACCACACATCCTCTCAAAACCTCCATGTTTTGTAATGTATTTTGAGCTGATTCAAAAGGTTTTGAATGAGAACATTTAGCTAAAGAAGGAGGAGAAATGTCCCAACTCATGAAGGAACACTACATCCTTTAGTTTATTACAATCCCTCCAAATCCTAACATCTAGAGATTCATGGTTTTTCCCATGCCAGGAAGGGTATGAACATTTTCTTTTTATGCTGCTGCAATGAAAAAATGTCCCAAATTGGGATCAATAAAGTACTTCTTATCTTATCTTAAAAACCAGAGTAAAGCACAAATATGGAAAAGCTCAAGTAAATAGCAAGTACCTCAACTCAAGCACAGTATTTGAGTAGATGCACTTGTTCCACACTGGCAGAGTGTTTCTCACCTCTGGCTGTCGGGCTGTGAGATGGCAGTGACGATGGTCTCCACAGCGGTGTCGAACAGCTCGGGGTTGGACAGCGCAGTGAAACAGTCCTGGACCAGCTCATGACTGTCCCCTAACGTCACGTCCAGCCCCGTCCAGCTGGACAGGCAGCGCAGCACCTTTTCCTTCACCTGGTTCGAGGAGTCTTGACTCTGGAGAAGCTGACGCAGCAAGGGACACACCACTGCCCACTCCCCAGCCAGGGCCTCTCTCAGCTGGGCACGACGAGCCTGAGCCAGCCGGCGGCTCTGGAACTCCTCTGGAAGAACGGTGAGGAGCTCCAGCAGAGCGAGGCAGTGTGCCTGAGGGTCCTGGGTGGCCTCTGAGCCCGAGCTGCCCTCAGAATCAGGCTTCTGTGGCTGAAAGGCCCTCACCATGTCCGCCACTGGCTGGGACCAAGCCTGTGGGATTAAGTTAAGAGCCATGGAGGCCAGGGCCACACACAGCCTGGTTAGCACCATTTTGGGTCCGGAGGAGAAGAGCAGGATGTGGGAGAGGAGCTGCATCCTCAGGCTGTCGTGCTGGTCTGAGGGGAGGTCGCTCCAGTGACGGGAGATCTTGGTGTGGAGGGTGCTAGCGCCAAAAAACTGAACCTCTGGGAGCTGCAAAGATACAGACACATTTATGAATGGGTTACTACAGGGCCTCAAGTTAACCACAAAGGCCCCAAAAATGACAACAAACTAACCCTAACCCTAACCCTAACCCAAACAAACTACAAAGAGACACAACAAAATTACAGAGAGATGCAAAACATTCGCAAAGAGACACAATGAGACTACAAAGAGACTCAACAAGGATGAAAAGCGACAACTAAAAATGATAACCAAGAGCAAAAGAGACCACAAACAAACACAAAACAAAAACAGAGACAAAAAAACTTCAAAAGGACTCAAAATGACTACAAAGAGAAACAAAACAACACAGACTGAAAAGAACTGCAAAGAGAACAGAAGGGAACTACAGAGCCTCAAAATTACTAAAGAGAAACAAAACGCTAACCAAAGATGCTTAACATCTATTAAGTTTGCCTCCTCAACATTGTTTTTTCAGCCCATGATCACAATATGGAGATTTTTTAAAAAGATAAACTACCTGCTGTTGACATTTACTACAGACCAACACACACACACAACACATGCCTTGTCAGGGGCCAGCAGGGCCCAGCAGAACTGCCAGGCCTGTGCCGAGGCCTGAGCCTGGGTCAGCCACTTCTGGGCCACATTCTTACGCTCCATGTCCGGGTCGAAGTACAGCTGGTAGAGAGCCTGGAGGAGGACAGAGGACCGAGGCAAAGTGAACACTTATACAAACCGTCATTAGGTATTATTAAAAACATTGATAAGGATGTCAGATTGGCTAAAAACTGTCAATATGCCTTTACTTCCTGACGAGTAATGACGACCTGTATATTTTCATCATAACAGGTGGATACACGCCTTTTTTAAATCTTTAACACGGGTGTCATTTTAAGTTATAATTCCTGAGATGATCATGCCCAGTTTACTTGATGTCCAATTGTTTGAATTGTGTCAAATAATGTGTTGTCATAGCAACTAATCCAAGGCACATGGTGTTAGTTATTATTAGGACAGCATATGCTTATAGCTGGTATCATGTTACAAAATGTCCAGTATGTCTAAACTCCCTTTGGTGAACTACAATTAACCAACCACCATTCTATTATTTATTTATTTAACCAAACTGCTGCAGAAAATTCAGTTAGGCTACTGTATCAAATCAAATATGTCCATATCAATATGATTTGATGACAAATATGTGAATTAAAATGAGATTTAAATGATTTAACAGACGTGTAAATCAACAGACAGTCACCATGAGAAGTGGCTAAATTATTTTTTAAAGTCACTCACCGACTCCACATTCTCCACCGTTAACTCCAACTCCACCGGGCTGTCTCCCGGATTGGCTGGATGCTCCATCTGGAGAGAAGGTGTCTTCCTGTCGCCTTTGGAAATCCTTTATAAATTAAAGCCTGATCGGCAAAAAATAAACAATAAAGTGGTTGAAAGGAGGAGAGCCTGTCCTCTAAAGTGTGTCGCTGACAGAGGACGCCGCGGCTCAGCTGTCCACACGGCACACATGTGGGCAGTGCGCTCAGCCATGACGACACACTGACCTCTGCGGGGGCTGGAAAGTTGTTGTCTCACATTACCACCAGCACACCCGGACGTCCATGAGGGTAAATGTCTAGAAACCGCCACTGAAGCAAGCCTAATCATCAGGAAAACAGTGTGTGTGTGGTACAACAGGCGCTCCTGACGCAGACTACTGCGCCTCTGACGCACTGGCACCTGATTGGAGCAGAGGAGCGAGTGCAAATTGATGCATGTCGCTATAGGAATATATGCAGATTAAGAGAAACAAAGCTGGAGAGTGAAATATGAATGTGCAGTGAGATCGGTTTTGCCTCTTTAGAATAAAGCGCGTGCAGCCCGTTCTGCTCCAAACACCGCCCGCATGCAGCCTGCGGAGCGGCCCCACCCCTGCCTCTCTTCTGCCCGACTCCCTCAGGATATTTTTAGCGCTGATGATGCGCCCTGTCAATTCACGTAACGGAAACTACCTCAGAGCCGAGAAACCGTTGTGGAGGGAGGCTTTTGGTCCAGTTGTATTGGTGTGATCTGCAAGGAAAGGCCACGAGGAAGATGATATTTGAAATGAATTTGGTGTTTTGCATGTTGGTGGTGCTTACCGGCCCATCGCAGACAAGAGGTAAGGTAGCATCCCTGGCGTGTGTGTGTGTGTGTGTGTGTGTGTGTGTGTGTGTGTGTGTGTGTGTGTGTGTGTGTGTGTGTGTGTGTGTGTGTGTGTGTGTGTGTGTGTGTGTGTGTGTGTGTGTGTGTGTTGGAGTGACTTCCTGCTGACGCGCTTTCCATTTCTCACATGATGCTCTATTGATCTTACAGAAAGTGTATACAGAGCTGCAGGCTGATGGGCAAATTAACATCATTATATGTATTTGATTAACTTCTTATAGTTTGCTTACTACCTCACCATATCGTTTGGATTACCTTTGTTCAAGAAGATGAGTGTTTCGTTGTTTATTTGGTAACTCTTAACCACTAGTGCTATGTTTATTTAAACGTTGAACGTACTTTAGTTCAGTCTTCTCTCATTTCATTGGAATAAATAATATATCTTATTTATTTCAGGATAGACTCAAAAACACTCAAACTGCTGTCAGTACACATAGTTTTCATCATAGAATTTAAATTGCATAAGAGTGATTGGCATAATGACATAAAATTGATTGTCAACTATTTTGAGAATCGATTAATCAAGTCATAAGCAGCGATTTCTTTTTAAAGAGATCTCTGGTTCTCGTTTTTCAAATATCAGAGTTTGGCTTTTTTCTGGACTTTCATCATAATAAACGGATTATCTTTGGGTTATAAAAGCTTCATAAGCAACAAAATAATACAATAGTAGGGCTACCAGCTCCAAGACAATTAGTCGACCAAAGTTCCTTTTGGACTCATCACAAAGATCTCTTTGGACAAATAGTCGATTTATAAGATTTTTTCATGCTAAATTATTTATTTCTTAAAATTGTATGAGCACATCTCAGGAAAACACAAGATTTTAAGTGAGGCATGATACATGGAGAAACCCTTATACAGATCTGTTGATTAATCAACTAATCGATTTTTCAACAATATCACTGTTAGTCGACTGAGAATGTAAGGAAAGCCATTGAAGCCCTCAAGTAAACATATTTAGTGAGTTTACTTATCCCAACCAAATATGCAAGTTTTATGAATATAAATAATATGTTTATGTATTATTCTTATTTTGAATGTTTATCTTACAAAACAAGGCATTTGAAAATTCGACTTTGTGAGATTTTTTCATCCCTTTATGATTGATCTTTTATTCCATAGGTCAGAGCGGTGCGTTGCCTCCTGTCCTCACCCCAGCTGCCCCCCCGAGTCACGCTGGAAGCTCAGCATCTCCTGACCTGACGGAGCATCCTGAGAATGAGCCCTCACAGTGGACATATAATCCTGCAGGCGGGGATGGAACCCCAACCCAAACCACAACTATGACCAAGACCGAAGTGACAGTCCATTTAGAGACTGTGACAAATTCTTTCGGCCTATATCAAACACAATCGTCCACCGCTACATCCCTACACACCAATGTGCCTGCTTCACTGTCAGGTAATCCAACCTGTATGCACCATTTATCTTTTTAAAAGCTCTATATATTTGTGTATCTTTAATGTTCTTGTCCAGTCTGTTTACTTTGTCCACAATCTTAAAATATAACAGCCCACACACTTAAATCTGCCTGTTTGCAAACACAGACGCTCCTCTCAGACTCTGCCAGCAGCATTCCAGGAACATGTTGCTCCCCTGACCCTCACATGACTGCACTGATATCGAGAATGTGTGTCGCAACCTCATCTACGAGATTCCCTTTATAGCTCAGATAAATATAACCCTCGCTGCTGATGCTGCATTGCCTCTTTAAGCAGCCCAGAAATAAACAAAATGACATTATAACGTCATCCGGATCAAACCCTTTCCCCCTTTTTTAGCCTGTGTCGCCACTTCTCTATCCGCCCCTGTCAAGCAATGTGTAGGCGAGAGATGCTGTTTGAGTTTCTCCCTTCGAAGGCCCACAATTGCATCAGCAACTACTTTTGGTTGCTTTGTAATGTGATGCAAAACATGCACATGGCTGTCTTTTGCCTGTTCCCTCAATCTGTCCTCAATGTAAATATTACTCTGGCTTGTAATTTCACAGCGTACAAAGGTCCTTGAACACACCCTTTTCCTAGCCCCCTCCCCAGCTGTTGGCATGAGCTGTCAAGCCTGATGTAAACAGCCACATGTGCTTTAAGTGGAGTAAGAATATACTCATGATGAGAGAGGGGAAAGGAGGTGAGCTTAGTGTGTTTATGTTATTCAATAGTTTCACAGAGAAGAAATATTTCAGCTAGAAGAGAAAAGGAAAATGGAGACTGTTGTTGATAATGCACACAGAAGCCCTTATAAGCACGCGTTTTGTCAACATTTACCTGTGTTGTTTACAGTAGGTCTGAAACTAACAGTTATTGGGTTATTTTCATTATCGATTAATCTGCGCATGTTTTCTTTGGTTATGATTATTTTATTTATTTGTGAAATGCATAGTGACGCAGTTTTGTCTGTACAACTAGTTATAGAAACAGCATGTTTTGATTTAAAATAACAACTATTGCAAGTAATCGGTTATCCAAATGGGGGCCGATACATTTTCTGACTGTCAACTACATCTAGTTTTAGATCTTTAATATCATAAAAACCACAATCCTTTAGTGTCTATCTTAGTTTGTTGACTTGAGGCCAAGAGTTTAGCATTCTGTTGTTATCTCTACATTTGTGTAGATGTCTGTAGTTTATCATACAGGAGAGAACTGAGCCCAATGTGAAATATGTGTTTGAATACTGAGATTAAAGTCAGAAACAAAACATTGAAATATTTAAAACATTCATTTGAATTCAGAGAACTCTGACTTTACTTGGAGTTTAAGTTTGGAGTCCGAATTTGGAGTAAGATTTTTTATTTTTCAATTAAATCCTGAATGTATTCTCAGATTGCTTTAAACATGGAATTCCTCAACTTCAAATCAAAATCAAATCAAATGTCCACATGTGGCCCTAATCGTCTTCCATGAAATCAGCCTCTGCAAAGCTTTAAAGTTGCAGTTCTCAGCAATTTGTGACCTCCGCCATCCTCCTTATTATGTTGTTTGATGCATGAAAATACAAACGGTGCGAACAAGGTTTCATGGTATTGTTAGGAAAGATAGGTGGGACCTGAAAACAAAGACATTTGGTCACAGTCAGAGGGATTGATTAATCTTGATTCTGTGTGTACGGTTTGTTCCCTTTGAACTAGTCTATGTACTGTCTTAAATTAACACATCCCTGCCTTCATATCCCCACTTTCAGCTGCCACAGAAAGCCTTTCATCCGCACCGACTGTACAGAGTAGCGCCTCTACGTCGCACATCTCCACCACGGAAGGCAGAGCCACTCTGACCACAGATCCCTTCAACACCTTTTCATCTCCAGCAGCCCACACAGTGCAGGATACGAGCTCCACAGCCCACGCCTCCACCTTGCAGCCACAGTCTGAATCACTGACCTCAGCCCCCACGCAACCCACCACCAAAGCACAGCCTCTGACCTCAGCTCCAGGCCGAGGTCCTGCTGGGCCTACACACCGAGAGGTCCTGCCTCAGCTCAATGTTGGAGATGAAGGTATGGCAGTAAGAGATTTGTATTAGGCTCCCAAGATTGGCTTTATTTTCTCGTTCTTAAAAGCCCATGTTTTATTATGTTTATCCTGTTAGACCTCAAGAGACCCCGCTCAAGCTCCCCTTTAGACCCACTGCTGGCTGGCCTGCTTTCAGTGTTCATCGTCACCACTGCTATCGTCTTCGTCGTCCTCTTCCTCAAGTTTCGCCAGCGGACAACTCACCCAGAGTTCCATCGGCTGCAGGATCTACCCATGGTGAGACACCTACCAATGTATATCAATGACATGTGGCTGTGATTCAATATTACTTAAGAGGTTTTTTTTATAGGTAAGAAGATGTCCAGAGAGAAAAACAGTTTTAGAAAAAAAGAAACAAAGTGAACAATGCCTTGGGAGCCTCAAGTCAAAATCAATGCGAATTGCCTTGAACCGTATTTGTTTTAATGGCCAGCAGGGGGCAGGTTCTGGTTGCAAAAATAAGTTTGATTGTATAAAAGTCAATGAGAACAAATGAACCCACTTCTAACTTGAAAATGTTTGTGATTGAATCATGGCCTTAATCTCTAGTTTCATGTCTTTTGTAGTACAGCATAATGTTCATTTCCAAGCTGGTATGCTCTAGGGTTTACATTATGATTTAAGTTGCAACAGCCACCTGCAACCAAGGTAACCCTCAATTAATTTACGGAACTTTGCTTAAAATCTCACAGGATTTGCTGACTGGTGGCTTATAGTAACCGTAACAATTCGAGGTCAATGGTAAAACGTTGTATTCTAAAATCCAATGGGTGATATCACAGTCACTACGCTCACTTAAATTACACTGGCCAGGCAAGGATGGTCTAAAGAAAGACACCATATTCGGTTGTATTATAGGACATTTAGGATCCAGGGGTTTCCCGTCTTTGCAAAACTAATTTTCTTGAACCATTTTTCTTTAACGTCTCTCGCTGCATAGAAATGCAATACTAAATTGCTGCACTGCTAAATGTAACTCCTATATTTAGGGAATAACAGATTAAAAGTCACTAAATCCCTTATACACTTTTCAACAAATGTACAACTGTGAGTAAAAGCATTTAACTGGTAGGCTGTAATCTTTATCTTGTTTACCTCTTCTCCTCCAGGATGATTTGATGGAGGACACGCCGCTCTCCAGATACTCCTACTGATGGAAGCATCCTGTCCACGACACTCAGAGAACAAAAGCAAAGCAGACACCAAAGGAAGACCAGAGTGGATCAAAGAAAAAACCTTTGACTGGACTTGGCTACGATTCTGAAGAAGAGTTTTGGGTCAGTGATAAAATGATATTCATCTGTAGTTCCATAAAGAGGAGCATTAGTCTTTTAAATGGGAGATTGTAGATGTTCTTTTTGCCACATTCCCTTTACATTTCCAGAGATCTTCAGTCTAGTGGAAACTGTTTTTTTTTTTAGTTAGTAGAGCCTCTGCACCCCTGAGTGACTCCCCATGTATGCACAGCACTTTAAATCGCTTGAATGATTGCAGTGCCCCCTGGGGGACGTCTGAGGTAATGTAGATCAAGTCCTAAACAGACAACCTCAGGTTATATGGCAAGAAAAAAGAAAAAAAAGACATATGGGATATTTGCCAAAATTACCACAAAATGATTAAGGAATATACATGATGAACCCTTAGGAGACCAAATAGTAACGTGCACTTTTAAGCCAAATTGCCAGGTTGCACACGTTGTCTTAAAACTAAGGTTTTGCAAAATATACTTAAATGACAGAAGTGATTTTTTAATAAGCCATATCTTTGGGAAAAACAAACACAACATATTTTAACTTCAAATTTGACGTGGAACATATTTATTTTTGCAGCCTTTAATTGTGTTATTACAATTGTGGGGGGACTTATTTTCATGGTCTGAAGCTGGTATATAAAACTTGAATTTGATTCGGACAAATGTTTGGACTAAAACTAACTTAAATTAGAAACAAGTTGCAAAAGTAAAATATATAACAGTTTTTAAAACATGTTGTAAAATGCATATTGCAAGGAATGTATTTGTTTCTGCAAATGGTATTTCTTCAAGTGCTTTAAGTGGAGACAATGAGGAATTTTCCAGGTTTAGATGGTTGTTACCTGTATCTGTATTAGCCGGAGTAGCCTATCAAATGTGCAGGAACTAAGCTGTTGTTTCAGTTTTTATTACCTCGTGTGTTACTTTCCTGTTAAGTGCCAACAGTGAAGTATTATAATATGCCATTGAAGTGTGGACTGTAAAAAATGTATTGATATTAAGTTTGATAATAAAACACAAACCGTGATATATGGGCGAGTCTTGCTGTGTCATTGTAACCTGTGTGACGGGCATTGTCTTTCGCAGTTGGTTTCCAGCCAAACAGATCTGCAGGGATATAAATCCACATGCCAAGACAAGTAGTGTGGACTTTGAACTACTACTACTAATCTTTACAATACAAAAAAGCCGATCCCTAAGCACACCAATGTTGACCAAACCCCACATTCGATCAATACCCATTCAAAAAAGAAAAGCACAAGGTTATGTATTACCAATGTATAATATTTATTATGATCAATGGGAAAACTCAAAACCCTGTATGAGAATCTAAAAAAATTCAATAAGAAAATCATGATCGTTTTTTACTTAGGAACGGCAATAGTTTTGACAAACCATTGTCAAGTTTTATTTAATGTGCAAACATTTTTATTACAGCATCTTCATCTTCTCTTACAAAAAATATAAAGGAATATTCAAGTACAAATGTCTGAATCTGAGTGCTTGATAAAGATCATGGGAGCGCCGACCAGTTACTACACCCTGTTCATTTTTCTAAATGAGGAATTTCACTACCTGGAGAACTGGTCGGGTCACTTGACGACATGAACTCTAAATTGTTAAATTGGTCTTGGGTTAGCATGCATATTGCAAGGGTTACGTAGAGTGGCTTTGATTATCAAGTGAAAGAGCATCCTAAAGATTTGGTCCTTTTTAGCAACAGCTAACTTGACGGAAGGGGCCCATGCGGGGTACGGTCCAGCCCAGCAGGGTGCGGCCGTGGCAGATTGTGGTCAGCATCAATCCGAGGAAAGCCACGTTGCCGAACGCTCCCCGCATCCTCTTTTTGGGATCTGATTTAGATGAATTGTATTAATGGTAATAGAATATCTACACCGAAAATGTCAATTACATTTGGACTGCCTGACATGTTCTTACCTCCTGTGGAGTATCCGTGTGCGTACACCTCTCTGCTAATTATCCATACAACTCCAAATCCACTGGCAAGACGCTGTGGTTAACATAGAAACACACACACAAAGTTAACATTTAGTAATGACAAGATTCTATATATTTCTCAAATGTTGCTTTGAACCAAGAGCAAATAAGCAAAAAGCAATGTTGAGAATTTGTCAATTTCTAAAATGTAAGCTTATTTTGCTGTGGTCATTAAGACTAGTGAAAGAGAAAGACCAAAATACACATTTAGGTGTTTATTTTACTAAATCTTTGTTTATTTGCGTCTATAGATTGCTCAAAAGTTTGACTATAATATTTCAACAAAATTAAACTTTAAACCTGGCAATACAAATTGTTGCAAATGTATGCAAATTAGCAGGTAATTTATTGAGCGACGCCTAATTTGCCTATTTTAACATAACAATCAGAAAACTTTTTATACGCCAAATAGTAAGTTGTCAACTAGGGAAGTGAAAGTATGACATCTTTTCACCTGCAGTGTCTCTCCTGCATATTTTATAAGCCTCTATTTTTGTGCTACAGTAGTATGACAAAAATCCACTCACAGGAGCATGCAGTCCACCAATTGCCAGGCAGAAAAGGAAGGCGGGGTAGTTCTCCAGGCTGTAAAGAGGTGATAACATCATGTTAACTCTCACCTCTTTTACCATTGTTACTATGAATCATGAAAGCATGGCGCAATACCATTCAAGTGGGTGCGATTGAGGTCACACTGCCCATTTTTCAACTCATACGCACGTGTTTAGGTGTGCCCGCTGGATGCAGTTGAAAAGGTTTCCATTTTCTGGGTCGTCGCTGTACATCTGAGGGTACTGCAAGCCAAGACACGTTTGTTTGTATAGACAATTCAAAATGCTTCACACAAGCCCAAAAAAAAGGCACTGCCCACGCATGAAACTATGTCAACAAACTGTAGACCAACCGGCCTTGATGAAAACAGGATGAATGAGAAAGATTGGAAGATATTCTGCAATGGGTTTGAACAACAATACTTCTTCTCACATCAATCTTGTACTTCTTGCGGGCTTGGACAACTTTCATGGCCAGATGTCCAATCATGGCCATACTGGCAACCCCAGTCAGCACCACATAGCCGTATTCTTTGGAGAGTGCCACCATCCTGCAAACTTTGAGAAAGGAAAAACAATAGTCGATTAAGTTCTGGTTATTATGTAGTATTACAAAATACATGTAAATCAGTAACACAAAGTGAGAAAAATATGTGAATAAATTACAGTTACCAATTAAAATGATGGGTTGCATCAGTCTACTTCAGGGTCATTTTGAGAGTAGGCCTACAGCATTTATTCTGTTTCAATCTTAATTCAAATTATATTGAAGAACTTTTATAAAAACTTTGGCAGTTGGTTTTTACACTGCCTGGTTTAAATGTATGCTTTTGAGGACATTTTCAGTTTGTTTTTTCTGGTTTAAAACATTAATTAGAAATTGTTAAGAATGTAATAAGCTACATTACTTTGATCAAGTATGCGCAAGTCCTATATGTAAACCTTTATATATACAGTCTATGATGTAAACACATGAAATCTCAAACTAGGGAAAATAGCTTCTTAAAACCACAGCAGAGGAAGGACGCCTTGAAAACGAAAGGTCAAATGAGGACTCCAACGACGCCATTAATGTAACACCGAAAAGTTTCAGAGGAAGCATATGGTAATATCACATAACTAAACTTACTCAAAAACACAAGCTTTTACCTTAAATGTGGCAGCTAGAGTACGAGGTTGGCAGCTCAGGTGAAAACACAACGACAGGCTAACCGAGCACGCAGAAGTTTCCTGTCTCAAATGTCCTGCGTAGAGGCTTACGTAACGCCCACACACACTCACAGAGAGGGCGTGGCGGCTAACTACAAGCATTTACTCGATTACGTGTAGGCTATAGCTCAGGGGTGTCAAACTCAATTTCATCGCGGGCCACATCAGCATTATGGTTGCCCTCAAAGGGCCGGTTGTAATTTTAACACTATATAAATATACATATATAAATATCAAAATAATGTTTTATACTGTATAACAATATTGCCTCTGCATTGGAGTATTATTGGTTTTGGCAATAACTACGTCTGAAAGCACATGGTTGTGCATTAATGTATTGTGCACGTAGACACAAAAATACTGTATGTGGGCTCAGACTAACATTTCACTCTCTTACTGTTACATAAATCCCATGAATTTATGAAATTTAGTTAGCCTCATCATATCTTATCAAAAAGAGATACAATGTTTGTGAAATCTATTTTTTGTGAATAATAAAGTATTTTTCTTTTGTATATCAAGCATTATTTAAGAAGGCTATATTTCATTTGAATTCAGCAATAATATTTTAATAGTCTGAAAGCCAAGACTTTGAGAACCCCCTGTCCCAGATCCTGCTGTGTTACTATCACCTGTCACTCACTATTTCAGTAAGCAGTGAGTGGGGGGGGGGGGGGGGCGGCGGCGTGTTGAGGAGGAACAGTGAGAGGGGACAGGGATCGCGGAAGTTTTCCTCCTTCCTTTACAAACTTTACACAAGTATTTATAAGTATTTATCGTCTGAATATAGCAAAAAGACGTTCATACTCTGCAAGCCAAGACCTCATATATTTTAATCAACCAGAAACCGGAAATAACCGTAACGCGAGTTTTTCTAAAACATAATAAATCCATGTGTGTCTCTGAGCCGCAGCAACACCGACTGATTCTTAAAGAGCGGGTCATTCTGTCTGTTTGTTCTGGGACTGGAGTTGCTTGTCTCGGTTGCTGAAGCAGACTTTGCTCCGTGTTTGGTGTCTCTGTGCCGCTGTAAATTATGTTCCTTCAACTCTGTGTCACTCACAGTCACACACTGCTCACTCACCGCCTCAGAGTGTCGCTGCTGATAGGAAGTCGCTTCAGTGCGCACGTCACAAAACGAAATGCATTTTGGGACATGCAGTTTATGGGCAACGTGCTTAAACGGCATGTAACCGTATAATAAACTGTTTATATTCTTTGCGAGCTCTCGCGGGCCACATAAAATGACGTGGCGGGCCACATTTGGCCCGCGGGCCTTGAGTTTGACACGTCTGCTATAGCTAATGTGTACTAAAAGTCAAGGAAGGTTACATCCAGTTGCATTATTACTCTGGTCGATACAGGACTGCCTATTTTACACAGTAAAGGAAACGTTTCCTCAAAATACTCAGTCCCCTTTTCTGACATGCGCACTGGACCGCAGGTGAGCTGTGTTGCTATGTTATGGAGGTTACCTTGGTAACTGGGAAAATAGGGGTATCCTATCGTGAATACTAAGAGCAGAGGTGGTAGAAGTACTCAGATATTGTACTTAAATTAAAGTAGAAGTACTAGAGGTAGGTTACTAAAGTATAAGATCTGAGTATTTTCTCCAATATCATCAATTTAATAGGCTAATAGTAAGGCAAGGCAAGTTTATTTATATAGCACATTTCAACACAAGGCAATTCAAAGTGCTTTACAAAAATGAAAGACATTAATAGCATTTAAGAAACATAAAATATATAAAATATAAAATGGCATTTAAAAACACTAATTTAAAAGCAAAGATACATGAATCACAGTTACAGTGCAGTGTGAGATACACACATCTGAACGAACCCCCCTTTGGAAAATTATAATCTGACCCCATGGTACCTTTTAGTTTTCGCCTTTTTTAATTTTTAAATGCACATAGTTAAGTTTACCTTGTCTTTCTAGGACTTTTTTGGTATCCTCCGTGAACCAGGGTCTTGAAACCAAAACAAATTCCTGTACCCCATGGTACCTTTTTAGTTTTCGCCAAAACTATTCCTCTTTTCTTTAAATGCACATAGTTAAGTTTAAGTTGTCTTTTCTGGGACTTTTTTGGTGTCCTCCGCGAACCAGGGTCTTGAAACCAAAACGGCACACGTAGGGGACTTTAACCCCCTACGAGGGGACTTTAACCCCAATAATGACTTTAACTACCCAGGGATGCAAACTTGTCACCTTTCGGCGAAATTCGCCGTTTTGAATCCAAAATAGGTCGTTTGTGTGATTCATGTAGATCTGCAATAAAAATATTTTTGGGGTATGGGGGGGGTCTGGGACCCGGAGTAATCGGCGGCCGCGAGCTGTTATGTGCCATCATGACACGCATGGTGTATATATTATAATGCAGCGCGATCTGTGTGCTCGAGTCTTCCTGCCTGTCGGCTCTGCTCATCGATGTATAATAAGGCTCTGCTGCTCCGCGATGATGGTCTAGCTTCATTAGCTACATTATCTACGGGTGCGTTCGTTAATATTAACTGTGCGGTCCGGAGTCACTGTGGCACAGACTGCACCGCTGGTGAACAGCTGTTAGAACGGGCCGTTCAGGTGTCAGAGCAGTGCACCCTGTCGGAGCGGCAGAGCATGATGTGCACTGAAAAGTTTTTCTGTCGCAATATTATCGTTGTCGAGCTAGCTAACTAGCATACATTGTCACTATCTGCTAACGTTAGCTTTAGCCTTCGTTTTCTAATAGTTTTTTTCATAGGCTATAAACGGAGGTGGTATAAGTATAGATCTTGTACTTGAGTAAAAGTAGAAGTACTCAGATCTTGTACTTGAGTAAAAGTAGAAGCACTCAGATCTTGTACTTGATTAAAAGTAGAAGTACTCAGATATTGTACTTGAGTAAAAGTAGAAGTACTCAGATATTGTACTTGAGTAAAAGTAGAAGTACTCAAATCTTGTACTTGAGTAAAAGTAGAAGTACTCAGGTTTGAGTAAAAGTAGAAGTACCAGAGTGTAGGAACAATCCTGCTATCAAAAATGTTCCTCAAATAAAAGTACAAAAGTATTATCATCAAAATATAGTTAAAGTAGCGACAGTAAAAGTAGAAGTACTCAGATCTTGTACTTGAGTAAAAGTAGAAGTACTCGGGTCTTGTACTTGAGTAAAAGTAGAAGTACCAGAGTGTAGGAATACTCTGTTACAGTAAAAGTCCTGCATTCAAAATGTTCCTCAAGTAAAAGTAGAAAAGTATTCTCATCAAAATATAGTTAAGGTAGCGACAGTAAAAGTAGTCATTGTGCAGATTGGTCCATTTCAGAATAATATATATGATATGTTTTATAATGATTGATCATTAAAGTGTTCTCAAAGCTGATAAAGGTGCAGCTAGTTTGAATGACTTTGTATACTGCAGGGTAGCTTGTGAATTTACTCCAGGTGGAACTAAAGTCTGATTTAACACTTGATTATATTTCACATCATTCATCCAGATCTGTAAAGTAACTAAAGGTATTAAATACATGTAGTGGAGTAAAAGTACACCATTTACCTCTGAACTGTAGTGGAGAAGAAGAACAAAGTAGCAAAACATTGAAATACTTAAATAAAGTACAAGTATCTCAAAATTGTACCCAAGTATAGTACTTGAGTTTATGAACTTACTGAAGTTACTTTACACCAGTGGCTATAAAGATAGAAAGACTAAGCCTTGCACAGAGGCATGAAAATACATTTTCAAAATGCTCAACAGTGCTGCCAAAATTATAAACTGACTGCTACACAATTAAAATAAATGCTTTTATATATTTCTATTAGATGTGACTCTTTGGCGTTTCTGTTATTATTAACTGCTGTAGTTGTTCTGACTGCTAAAATCCTCTGTTATTCCTCATTTTAAAGCCGATATTCCGTGGGGTCGGGGGGCTCGGATCCTTGTCACCTTTTTCATACCTGATGAGTTTGCATCCCTGCTACCTTTGGGGGGACTCAACACAAGGCAATTCAAAGTGCTTTACAAAAATGAAAGACATTAAGAAAATGGCATTAAAAAGCAAAGATAATAAAAGTTACAGTGCAGTTTAAGATATGAATATATCAATTAAAAGCAGCGGCAAAAAGAAAAGTCTTCAGCCTGGATTTAAAAGTAGTAAGAGTTGCAGCGGACCTGCATGTTTCTGGTAGTTTGTTCCAGATATTTGGAGCATAATAACTGAACGTTGCTTTACCATGTTTAGTTCTGACTCTGGGGACAGAAAGCTGACCAGTCCCTGAAGAACTGAGAGTTCTGGATGGTTCATAATTTTGCATTAGGTCAGAAATGTATTTTGGGCCTAAACCATTCAAAGCTTTATAAACCAGCAGCAATATTTTGAAATCAATTCTTTGACACACAGGAAGCCAGTGTAAAGACTTCAGAACAGGTGTGATGTGATCCACTTTCTTAGGCGCCGTTTACACGAGGAGAAAACTGCTTATATCTGCATAGTTTCGCGTGCGTATAGCCCTATTATTTACACGAGGCCGATAGAAACTGACCCCACAAACGATAACGGGTCCCAAGGTGGATAGATTTGCAAACAAAACGCTCTGGGGGGTCAACCGAGTCCGTGTAATCACCTCTATACGAATATTTCCTGAAAAAATAACGATAGCCCCACCTCTCCTGCTCACTGCTGTAGCAACTATCAAAAATAGCTGTGTTAATTAAACGCACAAGGGGTTCTTGAATGAAATAATATTATAAAAGGCAAACCAGAATTGTTAACGCCCAATATACTCCTTAAACAAAATAAACAGAGTCAGATTTCATGCATTGATCCATTATATTGACAATTTTCCAGCCAAACAACACAAACAAAATTAAAAAGTCCGCTCTGCGATACACCAAACTTGTCTTTACTGCCTAATCCAGGCCATTATTGTTCATTGCTCCTGCGCCCGTCGGCGGCAAAAAGAGAAATGTTTGTAGGCAGAGGACCGGCGTGTCCCAGAGGAGCGATCTCACCCGGTGTTTGTAGAGAATATCTCTCTTTCTGAGCGCGTCCTCTCCACGGAGACGTGCTTCTTGGTCGGTCGATGCAATATCCACAGATTCGGTTTCTTTCAGTTAAC